CAATATTAGTTATATTTAAATTTTATTAATATTTATTTATAATTAATAGTACTAAATAAAAATTACTATTAATAAATGTTATAATTGAAAAAAGTGACAATACTCTCAAAAGACTACTCCAAATAACATTTCAATAACCTCAATTTGGAAATGTCTATTTTTTTATATTTTATGATTATCAAATGAACGAAGACACGGGACTCCACTCAGTTCTTAGTAGGCCCGCCCGTACACGCCCCTTCGTCAACCGAGTCAGAGGCATTGTCTCTGCTTTTTTTTAATACTAGAAGGGTACTCGTACAATGCAGCGAGATAAATCTCGATTTTAATGTTTAGTTTTTATTCTTTGTCTCTATCGATATAATACGATTTGATGTGGTTTTGAGAAAGCAATAATGTTTTTATTTTTGAATTAAATATAAATTTGAAGATAGCATAAAATTTAAAAAAATAAATTGATTTTATTATCAAGTTAACTATTCAATAGTCTTCGTTTTTTTTTTTGGTGTAATTTCTTTATTTCAAATTTTTATTATAATTTAATTTAGATTTAATAACAAAATAATTTATTTTTGGTTTAATAATATAATTTTTTATAAAGATAATAATTAAACATTCTGTTAGGACTCAATGACCATCTTAATTATATTTTAGATTTTTTATATTTAAAATGGATATTTATTTTGTATTTGATTATGTTTATCTGCGGTTAATTACACGAATTTAAAAATGAAGCTTTAATAAGTTTACTTACGTAAAATTACTTATAATATTGAATTTTAAGTAATATACATCAATAAATAATATTTTATATATAAAAATTTTATTAAATATTTTATAATATAATATAGATTATTCAGTTACTAATTTATTTTGTGTTTCTCAAGATATACAGGTTTTAGATTTTAGTCAAATTTATTGAAAATGGTTCAATAAATTACAGCTTGTTACCCAGTCAACAAAATATATTTAACTTCATGCAAAATTATAGTTTTAATATTGTTTTTATTTTTTATTTTAATAATTATTTCTATTTTTTATGAGATTAACCATAAATATCTGTATCTCCAGTCTCCACTTACTTTAATTAATAATTAAATAATGGAAAAACGAATCATGTTCCTCAAAATAATATGACAATATTAAATTTTAATTTTGTTACCTTATCATGGTCTATTATTTGTTGCCTTTATTTTTCCAAAATTATTGAATATAAAGTATTTTTAACTTTAATTATAAATTATTATATTACTAATTTTTATATTAAAAATACTTATTTTCGAAAATATATAAATAAATAAGTTATTAAAATAATTATCAGAATTTTGTTCAAAAATAAATTGATTGAAGTACACGCTCCTAAAGGCGAGTGACAAGTAGTGGAGGATGTGACGTCACTTTTTATTTTAATTTTTTTAATTACATGTTTGGTCCATATGGTTTACAACTTTATTTGCATGAGGTCCTAAAATTAAAATAAATACGGATTTGGGACCCGTTATTTGTAGTTTTACACTTTTTTAGTCCCTTCCTTTAGAAATATCAGAAGCATTTTGTTAAGTCGGTTATTTTGAGGGTATTTTAGTCTTTTGACTCTCTTTTTAATCTTTATCGAATTAAAAATATAATATATAAATATATAATACCTTACATATACATATCTGGATCGATCTAGCAAACCCATGCTGGTTCCCCATGCTCCCTGTGATGATCTTCAACGTCTCCTAATGAAGTCAATCATCATCTCAAACATCCCTAATTACCACTCATTGTCAGTGTCACCTTCATCATCCACCATATCCATATCCAAATGATAACGGTGTTCATCGAACTCTATGAGGTGCTTGATGGGGCCAAGCCAACCATTGTTTTCATCTCCCCAAATTGATTGAAGATGGCAAAACCATGACGTTCTTCTTACCTTAAAATAACCGTTAAATAGTTATGTTCTGAATCTGACATGGGTTCGAGTTGTTATGTCAATAAACAAATGGAGGTTGACTTTAAGGATGTGATGAATTCCCTTCCTTCAATCCAAGATCCCTTGGTTTGTCGATTTTGAACATGGTCCCTGCTATTTCATCAAATCTCGAATTAGTCTCCAACCACGGTAAATCTATCGTTTACCCCTTCCCATATGGTTAGAACTTAGAAGTGTTGTTTTTAAGCTTAAAGCTTATGTTTTCAAGCAAAATGCTCTTCCAATGGGTTCGTGTGATGATTCTCCATCCATGAGAACAAGAAAAGAATCCCCCTCCCCCCTCGATTGGAGATCCACCGATCTATCCTTGTTTCTTCTTTATCGCAACAAAATCGAGGCTGAGGAAAGGTTGGAGGGGTATTTCACTGAGACATCGGCTTCATGTGTATCATATATGTATGATATATACATATATATATATATATAACATATTAAATATAAAATATAATATTAATTTAGTTTTTAATCATTTAATGGATATAAAAAATTGTAAAAAACACAAATGCTTCTCATTTAACAGTTTTTTCTTAACGGAAGTTATTTCGAGGGACCTAAGAAGGCAAAAAAGAAAACCACAGGTCCTAAATCTGTATTTATTTTGATTCCAAGACCTGATGCAATAAGAAGTACAATTCACAGGGACAAAACACGTAATTTACTCTATTTTTTTATTCCATTATTACCCCTGCCATTACATGACCTTTACTTCTTTGGTTTAAAGGCTTCCTTCCACCACAAAATTTTCAAAAGAATCCACCACACCCTTCACGATGAGGAAGCTCTACAACCACAATAAAGGCAAAATCCATCCATCACCGCCGCCCACCACCACCACCGCCGACCACTTATCTTTGCTACCGGTGGCCATAGCCGCTCTTGCCGCCGCCCTTGCACCGGAAGACAAAGAAGTCTTGGCATACCTTCTCTCATGCTCTCTAACCACCACCACCAACAACAACAATAAAAACTTCTCCGGCAACACCAAACCCACCAACAAAACTAGCGGCGGAGACGGAGGCGGCGGTGGCGGAAACCATCCTCCCCAATTCAATTGCAACTGCTTTACATGCTACACCAGTTACTGGGTTCGTTGGGATGCTTCGCCAAACCGACAAATGATTCATGAAATTATCGATGCTTACGAAGACGGATTGATTCATAACAAAAAGAGTGGGAAGAACAAGAAAGAAAGAAGGAAGAACAAAGTAATTTCTTCATCTTCCGCTTCTCCACACCCTCCACCGCCGCTTTCCGCCGCCGAGAAAGTTTCTGACGCGCCACCGCAAGTTGAGGAAAACAAGATTGAAGATAATGATGCTGAAGATACATTGATGATGGGGTCATCATCAGAGAAAGGATCAGTAAGAAAAATCGTAAGTTTCTTAGGAGAAAGGATTTGGGGTGTTTGGGGATGATGAATTTTTAATTATTTAAAAATTAAATTTTTGTTTTTTTAAAGAAAAAACAAACCAATTTTCCCATTTTTGTAGGTCAAAAATGGTCCATTTTTTTGTAATTTCCCCAGGCATATTCTTATTATCATTGGCTTCTGGTCTGCTTTTATTTGTTCTTGGAAGTGGATATAAAATAAAATAAAATAAAATAGCTTTTTTCATTTATGAATTAAAAAACGCTTTTTTACATTAGCTTGGCTCTGAAGGTCAAAAGTATCAGAAGATATTGAGGAATAAAAATTCTTTTGTGGTCATGAAAGTTCAAATGCGGTAACTCCAAACTATCTGCAAAGCAGATGATTGTCCTAAAATTAATAGGTTGGTATAGTTGTCCACTTAATTTTTGTGGTATATAATTTAAAAAATGTTATATTATTTTAAAATTTTGATTCGTTCTTTTACCAAAATATATCTTAAAATAACGCAAAATCGTGTGTAAATTATACTTGGAATTACGTTATTTGAACGATAATAACACATAGTCGTGCGACAAGCGGCTTATAGAATTTATCGAGTTGTACATAAAAAAAAGTGAAAAAACTATTTTACGTTTACATGTAACAACAATCTATCTGGGATCGTGACATTGTGTAAGGTCAAAATTGTGGCACAACTAGAACTTTCTAGTCCACGCCTTCGCCAACAAGCCAAAGACTTTGACCCGGTCCGTATTAAGAATGCGAGTTTAGAATGGGCAATTGGAATTACACAAATATAAACAAATAAAAAGTCGGTTTTGAATTAAATAAGATATGGATAAACACATAAAAAAAATGCGGGTTTTTGATATAAGAATTGGTTATAAGAATAGTAGTTATCGTGAGAAATGCAACAAACATCTCCATTCTTACATTAATCTTGAAATTAATTGAAAAATACCATTCGAAGTTAATTCATGGGTTATTTTGGGATAACACTGTTTAAAAGTGATCAAGGGTCTAAATCTGTTCTTACACTTTTCACCTTTAAATTCTACTCTTATATGATCTATTGTTATCTTTTATATGAAACGCTGACAATAGTAGACTTCTGATCTATGGGAGGAGACTCGAGGCCTAATATTTATTTGTTAGTTGAGTCCTTTAAGGTATATGATAAGCTACATTATATCAAAGACTGGGTTGGGTTTACGTGAGATTAAAGGTTTTTCGTGAGACCCGTAAGACCAATTTATGTTCATTGATCAACTTTATAAGCTAATGATTTAATGGTCTAAAGTTGTACGGTACCAATTTTGTGATTATTGATAAGTCTCGTGGCAATTTTATGATTATGAATGTTCACATGTAGATCTAATCCAATGGTTGAGAATTGGTTTTATGGGTCTCATGAAAAACCTTTGGTCTCACATGATCACAAGTCATCAAAGACTTCTAAACAATAAAAGACAATTGGATGCACAGATGGTTGCCTTTTAAACGATATAATAATTATGTACACTTCTCAAAACTGGTGAGATTTAAACTTGGAATAGGCTAAATGCACTTGTATGTATATTGCTAAATACAGTTCTACATATTATTATTTTTTTCACACACATCAACATCAAGACTTACTTTTTACATTTTTCAATGTATGATTTGACATGATTCTGACATAAAGAATAGTACATATAGCAACAGTCTAACTTACATAAAAGAGGGGTTACCAAGTACGTTTGGTTGCATAGATGGTTGTTTTTTTAAAGGCCAACCACAGTATTGTTAAAGACATAATAGAAAGAAACAAAACTTCAACAAAAGATTTTGTAAGTTGTAGAACCAACCCAAAAAGCAACCTGAAAGAAAACAAAACTGACCAAAACCAACAAAAGGAACCAAAACACCCCTCGAAACCAGATACACTTGATACCAAAATCAAGTACTCGTATGAATAATCTTTGTGTTTCTACCATGTTTAAGAGTTACGTGTTTGGAGAAAGCAAAGTTGGATTTATGATCTATTTCAGATTCTTCTTGAGATCCACTCGAAGACAGGAGCTTTAAATCATGCAAATAGTGTTTCGACAGATAGATATTTTTTTTTCTTCTATAAATAACATTATTACGGCGATCACATAACATGTAGCTAGTGGCCCAAATAGATGCCTGCCAAATTCGTGATAGCCATAGCGAGAAGGATTATTCTCCATGAAGGCGAAGGAGTTTTGCTGTCGAGCTTCCCGAACCAACACTGGTTCCCCACCAATTTAGAAACAAGTCCCAAACCGATCTAGCCATCTTGCAGTTAGTAAAGAAGTGATCAGTTGTCTCTGGTGTTTATTCACAATTTGGACATAGGGTTGTATCGAGATCTATGCCTCTATCATCTAAAGCTACACGTACCGGAAGACGTCCATGTAGAACGCGCCACATGAATATAATTATTTTTCTTGGGAGAAGGTTGTTCCAAGTAGTTTTTGGATGAAGGCCTATATCTACAAGGCATTTTTCTTTGACAATGACCTTCAATTTTTTGAACGCGGAAATTTTGTTGTCATCCAAACGCCATAACCCTTTATCTCTGCGATCGATAGTAAGTTGTAAATTTATCAGTTAATTTGTCAAACATATATTTAATACAAAGACCAATCTATTAATTAGGGTTGGGTCACGTGAGACCAAGAGTTTTTAGTGAGACTGGTAAGACCAATTTTATGTTTATTGATCAACTTTTTAAGCTAATAATATAATAGTCTAAAGTTGAACTGTGACAATTTTGTGATCATTGAGAAGTCTCGTGGCTTGTGGTTTGTCAAAAATAACATTTTTTTTTGTCTCTATAGCTTTAAAATTATAAAATGGCCGTTGTGGTTTGTAAAGACGTTCGTTGTTCGTCGTTCCCTCTAATGGTCATTAAATGATGGACGTTTCCGTCGTTTTATCATTTTTTGTCTTTTAGCCAATCAAAATCAATTTCATGATTTGCTCGCTATAGTTTTTGATTGGGTAAATGAAAATCTAATAAAAAGACGAAATTACCTCTCATTTAACGGAAATTTTTAATGATCGTTAGATGTAGGAATCAAATTCGGATTTTTTTTATAAACCATGATGATTATCTTGTAATTTTTAAAATGAAGGGGCAAAAAAAAAAGTTAGAGAAACCATAGGGACCAGATTTGTAGTTTACTCAAAAAGGAATCTCGACAATTGTCATACATATCTTAGAAGGTTCTCGACCAATCATTTGGTATTTTAGTACCTAGGGCTGAGCAGCGAAACCGGGTATTCGACTATGGAACCGGAACCGCCTTGGAACTGCCGGTTCTGGAACTGGAACCGATATGAGTGGTTCCGGTTCCGGTTCCTAAAATACAGAACCGATTGAGAATGGTTCCAGTTCCGGTTCTCAATTTTTCGGAACCGTTACCCGCCGGGTACCCGGTATTTTTCAAGTAAAAAAATAATTATTATTTTTTAATATCAAATTTATATTAGGTTTACATCTTGAAAACACGTCGTCATTTTCATTCTTCATCTAAATTCTCCATATAAAATGATTCGTATTTTTTCAAATTGTGTATTCACTTGGATTCATAGTATGTAATCGTTAAACTTTGAATATTTACCACTATAATATGTAATCGTTAAACTTTGAATATTTTATATTAGTCTATTATAGTTTGTAATCGTTAAACAATATTTGTAACAATTATTTTGTATAATTTGTATTCTTGCTTATTTATTTAGTGTTTTGGCAATGTTTTATTTTTTATTTCTAAACAATAAAATTTTAATATTTTAGGAAGCGGGTACTCGAAACCGGAACCGGTTCCTGGCGGTTCCGGTTCCGGTTCCAAAAATTTAAGAACCGCTCTAACCGGTTCCGGTTCCAATATCTCAAGAACCGCAGGTTCCGRTTCCGGTTCCTGTCAAAAAGGGTGGGTACCCGCCTATGCTCACCCCTATTAGTACCACACGCTTTACTAAAAGAACCGTTAGGTGTCGTTTGATTGGTTGGAGTCTGGCAGCAATTTAAAGGGTTTGGAATGGTTAACTCCTAATTCCTGCGATTGGTTCAATTTTTGAGTTTCCTATAAGGAATTCGAATTCCACAAATGATAAAATGTAAATTACTTAGGTTCTAGCAATGAATTTCGATTATTTCCGACCATCCTTTTTGAAAAACTTTTTTATACCATTTATATGACGACATTCTATTTCATCCCACCATGATGGATATCACCACCCCACGTCGTCGTCGTCATCCGTCGTTGCTGCCGTCACCACCACCCATCATCACCGCCACAGCCGCCATCACCGTCATTGCCATTGTCGTTTTCACCCCCACCCCCACCATTGTTGTCGTCACTACCACCATCGTCGCCATCGTCATGCCACCACGGTCGTCCCCACCACCACTACTTCCACCACCTCCGTTGCCACGACCACCACTATTGACACCGCTACCACCTCTATAATAATTCGATGAACCAAACAGACGAATTCTAATTCTTGATGATATGTTTAATTCCAAATCCTGCCAACCAAATGCATGGTTAAACATGATTAAATTTCATTACAATTCCTTCAAATCCCAATTCTTTTTACAGATTCCAAAATTATTATGGACTCCATTATATGAACCAAACGCCACCTTAGATTTTAAGATATCTCGTATGTGGTTACAAGTCCAATCATCAATATAAATCATATAAATAAATGTTAATCATTCACCTAGTCTAACAAATATCTGATTCAATAAAATATCTAGATTGTTTCATAATATAAAATGCTGATAATAATAAATAAACTCTTGTCATTTTTATAAATATCTTAATTAATTAGTTTATATGGTTTATACTAACAATTGAGTTTGTAAAATGAAAAAAGAAAGTAAAAAGTCCAAAAAAAATCCAATAGACTTTCATGTTTGTAATGATTAAATCGTTGGATAATTTTTTTGAATGAATAAGTTATTAGAGTTTCTGAAACTTATTAAATAAATCATTAAACTTTTGAAAACTTGTCAAATACATCCTTATTACTTAAAAATGTAACCAACAACTTTTATAGCAGGTAAAACTACAAATAAAAAAAAACCTAAAAACTATCCTAAATATACATATGTGGAGAAAAGTTCATTTAGAAACCACAAATATTTTAAGAACAGGAAAACCAAATATTCATTATGAATGTACCTCATGTACAATTCATTCATAATGAATATTTGACTCAAAATATTTATTCTTCTCGACATATGTATATACTCGTTGTTTTATGTAAGACAATTGTGTTTTCAATACCAACAGAAAAGGCATAGTAAATCACTAATGCCAAGTTGATCCAAGCATTGGTTCCGGTAAATAAAGGAGTGCTATAGTTTATCATAATCAAACTTAACAAAACTTCAAGAAATTTGTTGGAGAAGCCAATGAATTAACCTACATAGCCAACCAGTATTACCGAATATATGAAAGATCAAGAACCATTCCTTCCCATCTTTCTCCTTCTCCTCCGGCCACGACGTAAGCTCACATGTCAACGATGCAATCCTTGTCTACAATTTTCTCCCCAAATCAAAACCAATAACATCGAAAACCGAAGCAGTAAAGGTAACTACATCCATACTAAACAGGTAATTGAGCTCTACAAACATCTTCAAGTGTTTCTGCTTGGACCCCAGCCAACCTAACTGTTGGCCCATACCTGACAGTAGAACAAGGTTAAGGAATTAAAAAAAAAAGATTTGTAGAAGAATATGGATAGAATTTGGTCGCCACTTTCTTTATTGAGTACCAACTCTTTCAAAAACCCTAATCGAATCTCATGTGATGTTTGTGTAAATCTGTGTGTTACAAAAGTGTGTATCGTCACTTCTATTCTATGCCTATATCACCTCTTATATAGGTGATATTTATAAGGTAACTGAATCCTCTAAATATAGAAATAATAATTAACGTAAATAGGATCAACACCATCCTTCTTGATCCAGTTTGCATTCTCTTAGTTGCTCTGAGTATAGTTATCCAGAGCATGGACCAACCAGAGGAGTAGCTCATACGGAGGAACAGATTATACAGAGGAGCTTTGTATATGTGGAAGACCCAGAGGCTCTACATGTATTATGTAGACTCTGTGTCTGCACTCTGTATCCGGGAACTTGGCGTTTAGGCGTAGGCGCATGACTCTAGTCTTCTTGTCGTCCTTTGTACCCGAGTACCCGTGCTCTGGTCGCCCATAGAGCCTCTTAGTTGTCCAGAGAGCCTCTCTGTGCTCTTCCAGACTTGGTCATTTTAGCTTAGAAAAACTCTGAATCTTCCATCCTTAGCCCAGATTGCTTAACAAAACTTTAAGAGTAATTTGGATCAATTTTAATCCTAACACTAACAACACCATTGTCATAATCAGCCGTTTATCCTCCGCAACAAACCCCAATTCTCCATCGATTACCCTATCGAGAGCCAACTTTCATTCAAAAGACTTGTTGTTTTGGCCCGACAGAATCTGAGCAAAATGATGGCTCGATAGCAGAGTATTGAGACTGCATTAGAAGGAGGTTGTAGTGAATTGGGTTCCATATGGGGAAATGATTCTGACCGTGAGAATTAGGGTTTCAGAATGAGAGGATAGCGAGTGAAGTGTGTTAAGAGATGGATAAGGTCCTAGGATAGTTTTACGTTTTTTATTTAATTTGTAGTTTTACCTTCTATACAGGTTGTATGTTACATTTTTAAGTAATAAGAATGTATCTAACAGGTTTTTAAAAGTTTAAAATTTTACTTAACAAATTTCAGAATATCCAATGACTTTTCGCTTAAAAAATGGTTCATAGACTTGATCATTCTAAACATGGAAATCCATTGTGATTTTTCTAGACTTCTCCAAAAAAAAAAATACGAAAATACATACGGCCCATTTCTACTAATAAAAGCCCAACAGCTTGGGCTCTTATTTGGTTGTATAATTTCCTCGTCTCCACGCAAAGATAACCTTCCGGCAACACTACCGGTCGGAAAATCACTGTGCTCGTCTTCCAGATGGATGTACTCTTCAATTCAATCGACGTTCGGGATTTACTATCTTCACACGATCTAGACGACTCTTCGCCGCTCGCCGCCCCAGATCTTCGCCTCCTCATCGATCGTCTCCAAGTCCGGTCACTCGACATTAAGTCCAAAGTTCACAATTACATAGTCTCTCACAATGATGACTTCTCTGCCCTATTTTCTCGCTGCTCCGACGCTGTTATTAACTCTGAGCAACTGTCCTATCAAGTATCCAACCTCGTCAATCTATTATCATCGGATCGTCAACCGATCGATGTCAAGATCAAAGAAACAGTCGAACAGGTTAGGAGGAAACGCATTGAAACGAAGGAGAAGAAGGAAACGCTAGATTTAGTGAAGGTAGTGTTGAAATTGAGCCAGGAGTTGAGTGTTGTGGAGAATGATTTGAAGGTTGGAAAGGTCGTTGAGGCGGCGAAGGCCCTTACAGACTTGAAGGTGGCGTTACGAATAAGAGATAATGTGGAAGATCGCTCGGGGGAAAGGGAGCCGATGGTATTTGGTTTGTTAAGAAAGAAATGGACAGATTGCTTCGAAGAGGTAGAAATTGTTTCATATGTATAGAACTATAAAGAAAACTAATTTGGAATCTTGACGTTTATTTAGGTTTTTTCGTTTCCTAATCTCATAATCTAAGGCATAAGATGATGATATGTTTTTACGAATTTTGAAAAAATTGTAAGTTGATTATTTGCCTTTGTTAACCTTTGTTGAGTTTGTGGTGTGTTAAGCGGAACTGGATTTGGGTTTGTAGATACAAGAGGTGCTAGTGAAGTTTGTGGAAAATGCAGTGAGATTCGATCAGCAGTCCAACGCTGTTTATGTCAAGAATACAATGGCTATGAATGATATTCAAGCGGTCGAGCTTAATACTGTATTGAAAGCAATGCATGTAAGTTTAAAGCTTGTTTTGCTTCTTTCAGCTTCTCCTGTTTATTTGATCTTGCTGGTAACAATTTGTTGCTCAAAAAGCATAAGATGTATTCTTATAAGCACAGTGACTCTACTTATTGCCAGACCAATTTGTTAATTCAACTATTGGCAACAACATAGAAGGAAATTATAAGTTTCTCTCTCTCTCTTATCGTTGTATGCATATCAACTTTCAAAACTTGCTTGCTACTCATGAGCAGCCGTTTTTCTTTTGTTTTCTTGTGTAGGTGGTTGGCATTTTAGATTATGGGCTCGCCAAAGTAGCAGACTTGATGACCAGATATGTGATAGCTCCTGCAGTGCAGAGTGGTCCTCATAGTTTTTCTGTAGAAGAGAGAACGCTAGATTCAGGATGTATGGCTGAGGTAGTTCTGAGGATAACTCCGCCTTCTGATCCTCAGGTATTAATATAGTGGCACTAGATTTTTCATTTCATTTGCGTTTTATGCATTCCATGTTAGGAGATGTGAATCTCTGTGGACAATTAAATTGGTCAAGGCTAGTAACAAATACTTGAAAAGATTTGTCATCACATTGAGAAGACTTGATAGTTTTTAAAGATGATTTTATTCTAGGAATAACGTGCATGAAGTGATGTAATTCTTAGTACATTTTTTCCTTGTATGAATAGTTTCTTTGTCGAAGCGTGATGATTACATGTGGCTTGACTGGCTTCTTATCTCATGCTTAAGTTCTTTGAAGATAACTTGTGTCATTAGTATCATATAGATATACATGAAAATAAGGTGACCCCATGATAGTCCATTTTCATATCACCAAACTGGTTATGCTTAGATACCAGTCATACTAAGGTTTTTAAGCGTATGACATAAGAGTACACTTGTAAACTGCTGTTCGATCCCAGCTGACACAAGCTATGGTGGAGTGCGTGCATGTGCCTTCTACAAAGAAAGAAACTCAAAGAAGTTGATTTGGCTCATCAACTCACTTCCAAATCTCATTTGCGCCTATCAGCTTACATAGATGGCCATCTGGGGTTCAATCCAATCTTTTAATTGCCCCCTTCGCTATTGTAATGTAGATACTGTTAATTAAGGAGTTTGTACACAGCTAAACCATTTGCAACTGTTTGTTGTACATATAAGAATTTGTATCGGTGATTATCACAAAGTTGGTGCACGGAAACATCAAAAGAAATGATTTTGGAAAATAAAGGTAAATAACCTACGAATTATAAGGTTTGCACCTAATATGTGTAGGACTAGGACCTATAGGGCTCTAGACCCAAGATATCTCACCTAAGGTGATTGCTTCACATAGGCAAATAAAAATGCTCTCAATTCTTATATTCAGTGATCTAAAATCAATCTTGGAGATCACATCTCTTCATATAGATGAAAGGAAATCCAGATTGGACTTAGGGAACAAGCAGACATACGGAAGACTAAATAAATTGGTGTTGATAATTTACAAACTACCTAAAGTGATTAAACTGCCCTAATCTGCAATTAGTAATAACAGAACCCCAATTACACAAATTCTTCCCCAGTTGATCATAAATCAACACTTAGCAAATGAATGGGAGTTATTTTGGACTAGGCTTGTGGTCCTCATCAACAGGTATTCTCCCAAATTATGTTCAACAAAAATTCAGGCAATTTCATTTATGTTTTCTTATATTTCTCTTTCTTTTTTTAGTAAAAATATCCAAGTTGCTTCTGCCTTGCTGTTTATGTTTTAATGTGCGGAGGTGTTATAACTTATTAGATTAACTTTTTCATACTATCTTCATACTTCATATATGCAGGTTGAGAACTTGGATGCTGAAACCATATATTCTGGAATTAATGTGGTCATTCAATTTATTTTCAACTTTATTTGCTTTAAAAATTCTTCCTGGATGCGGTACTTTGGAAGATTGACATGGCCCCGGATGTCGGAATTGATTATTTCAAACTTCCTTTCTAAGGTTTGTTCAGTTTTACGTATTTGTTACCTTCCACAAGAATGGGATTACCTCACAAATGTATGAATGGAGCCCATTTTAAACGAGTATATTTATATTTATATGAGGTAGCAAAATGATAAGATGGTCCCTGCACTATAAATCATTTTTATTAGTTAGTCATTGTAGTATGACTTCGTTTATTAATCCTTTTAGTCAATGTTCCGACCAGAATGTGCCCTGTAGTTACTTTCGTATAAGCCATTCCTTTATTTCTTGAATGTACCAACCACATTCATGCAGCCACAATTATACCCTGTCCCAGATTACAGATTGGGATATTGTCGCTGTTAAAAAAGTTTCAAGTATTTGGGTATTGCTCCATGACCCCATCCTGTACCCAACCCATGCTGTTGCCAACTTGCCATCATCAGGATTCATTATATATATATGCTATAATTGTTGATATATGTTTTTTCCAGATTGAGAAGGGAGTTTGGGTTTCATGTACCAGTGTCTGAATATAGTTTTTCAAAGCCTTTTTTGCACAAGACATACGAAGGAGTATATGATTGGGTGCTGATAGAAGTCTGGTTATCTGCTGTTGCCCTCATCTGTTGGGATAGTGTCAGTATGAGATGATGATGTGTGTGACAGTTTTAACGCCAATGGGTGGTGGTGGTGGTGGTGATGAAGATGTGAATAATACAGAGATGTTGAGACCAGGTCTAGGTGACTGATAAATACTTTTTTAGGGTTAGTATCATCACTGACAAGCTTCTTTTGGCATGAAAATTTAGAACGATGTGCATTTCGTGCGAGGAAAATGGCCACTGCAAATTCGTAGTACAATGGACAGCATAAAAGAGAGGCTATAGTATAGGGGTCATACTAATAAGTTCTTTTAACATGGTAAATGCCTCCAAACCCGGGACATTACCTTAATTTTGATTAGTGCAAATTGACCTCTTATTTGATAGACGAAGGATCATGTGAGAATAGGAGTTAAGATGAGAAGTGTAAGAAGGGATTTGGACCGTTGATCACTTCTAATCTCAAACCAACTCATGAATTGCGCTTTAGAAGGGAATTGATCCGGTGTATCTCATTAGTGTTGATCTAGTTTTCCTCTTCAATTAGGATTGATCCAAGGGTGGAGATCCCTTCTCACCATAACTTTCATTCTCACTGGAACCCAACCCTTCTTTGATGTATGTAAATATACTAGTGATTTTTATTGATGAAGAAACTTGATAATTCCATATACAAGCAGTGCCTTTTGTATTTACTGATTTACCTTTTTCTTTATTCAGTTGATTGAGGAGTAATAAGATCAAAAGTGCCATTATGCATGAGCTCGCTTACTGACATACCATATAATCCTTTTGTGATGCCAGATTGTTCCTAACGATGCATCCAAACTTGCTGACTTCCAAACAATAAGACAACTCACTTTTGAGTTTGAGTCATCTCTTAAAGAAATTATGTTCATCTCCTCTGGCAAAGATGAAAGGTTGAGCAACTTTGCCGATAATGTTGAAGTTCATTTTGCTACAAGGAAGAAGGTTGAAATTTTAGCAACAGCCAGGGACCTGCTTTTACATTCAGATTTTAATCTTCCTAAGGTGAGGTTACCTAAACTGTTTCTATGCACTATCTTATCTGTTTCAAACAGGAGACCCCTTCTGTAAGAGCAGAAGATGCATGTATGGATGGTCAAAAAGCCCAATTATATATTTTTGTTGTTTCATGCAATTAGCATTTCATTCTACTTGCCTTTTTTGCAAAACAAAATTTAGCACCCATGCATACAAAAATAGATCTACATGTGAACTGTTGGCCCTCCCCAAAACGTGAGCGCTACCAATAGATGGCAGATACCCAACACTGTTATTCATTATTGCATAAATATTGATTGAAGGACAGTTCTTTTACAGGACTATTCAAGGAATAATGCAGAATTCAAGAATGGTGGTACTGTAGACTTACTTTTCTCGTCTGAGAGGTGTGTCATATCTGAAGCAGCTTCGCAGCTAATTGAACTTGTGCATCAAACACTCAAGGTTGGTAATAGCAAGCACTTTGCTGAAAGATACTAATTCAGTCTAAGCTTGATGCATCTTGTTCCACACTTTCATGCACTCTTAACTGATTGTCTATCTTTTGAGCAAATATTATTTGAGGCACCTTTTGGAAGGATGCCTTGACCCCCTCTCTCACTCCCAGTACCACCAAATTACTTGCAGTCAAAATGATGCCTGACATTATTGTATTGTTTAAAGACATCTAAGTAGATATGTATCCATGTTTCTTGTTACAGCTTCTTGATATAACATATAAGCAGTTACACTTCCCTTAAGCATATTGTTACACCGAGCGTCTACGTGCAGGATGTTTGCTTGTCATCTGCAACAGTGGCTTTAGAATTCTACCATGCTGCTAGGGATGCTCTACTTCTATATGAAGCTGTTATTCCTGTTAAGGTTAGTGCATGAAGTCAACAGTGGAGCCTAACATCACCAGTTTATTCCTGTAATTCTTGTTACAGCTTCTTGATATAACTCACACACCTTCCTCACCTTTGGTGAGGTTTGAACCCTTGACCTCCTGGGAGGCCAAAGGCTCCGATATCGCTTGGCCAAAGGCTCTTTGGTCACTACAATATTATTGATGCCTTATAATCTCTCATTTTGCCATATGAAGCTAGAAAGACAGCTGGATGGTATCAACCAGGTTGCCGTTCTCATTCATAATGATTGCCTATTCCTATCACAGGAGATTCTTGGCCTTGCATTTGAGGTATGGATATATGATTTGGGGAGCGATCAAATGCAAACCACTTAATTTATACAAACCGTGCAAACCGTATTCAACCAATCATAATTTTTCATTTTGTTCATTTTTTTGTAATTATGAGAGGTTGATTAATCATTTTTATTGTGGAGGGTGTTAATCATAGATATTATCATCTTCAGTATTTTAATTTTAAAGAAATACATGAAACAGTTTCATTAATGTTAGAGAAATACATGAAACAGTTTCATTAATGTTAGAGAAATACATGAAACAGTTTCATTAAGTATTATATGAAACAATTTCACAACCATATATGAAACAACTTTATCAAAAAGAGTATTATATGAAACAATTTCACAAGATTAAACAATTTCATGAAAAAATTTCATAAGATTAAACAATGGAATCGACAGATGAAGGTGGTTTGCACGGTTTACACAAATAAAGGCAGTTTTCATATGATCACTCCTCTATATGATTTTATACACTTAACTTTGTGCCTATGTTTTCTCAAAATGCAAGGCAATGATCCGTGTGTACTAGTTCTTAGTGACTTGTGACTTTTGGTTTAATATCTGAATCAGCCACTAACTTCTTGGAATTATGGGCTGAACGCCTAAATCATGAAATTTGTAGACTTGCATTAATTAGCATTCTTGCGTCATGAATAAGATGAAGTCATAAAAAGTTGAGAAAACTGGTGCATTGTATGTTAGTTTCTAATGACTTGTGACTTTTGGTTTAATATCTGAACCAGCCACTAACTTCTTGGAATTATGGGCTGAACACCTGAATCAAGAAATTTGTAGAGTTGCATTAATCAGCATTCTCGCGTCATGAATAAGAGGAAGTCATAAAAAGTTGAGAAAACTGGTGCATTGTGTGTTAGTTTCTAATGACTTGTGACTTTTGGTTCAATATCTGAACCAGCCACTAACTTCTTGGAATTATGGGCTGAACACCTGAATCATGAAATTTGTAGACTTGCATTAATCAGCATTCTCGCGTCATGAATAAGATGAAGTCATAAAAAGTTGAGAAGACTGGTGCATTGTAGATGGGATTATGTTAGCTATAAGAAGTAGTTGACAGAAATAACTATTTCTCTCACTTTTTTGTTTATTCTGAGGGTGGTCAATAATTGATAGGCCATATATACGAATAACCTTGAGATATGATCCACGTTGCAACTTTTTAGTATTGCACAGTTAAGGTATGTATATGCACTTTAGAAACTGGTCTGGCTATTGTTAAAGTTTTGTAAGCTTTGAAGTAGAAAATCTCCATACTCTTGTGGCTTTATTTACAAAAAGTTGATTTTATTATCAGTGTCGGATGTGGTTCTGTGTTTCTTTATCAGGGTTATTTTGTGGATCAGATAATCAAATATAGAAGGAACTAATGGTGAAATGTTTAAAGATGTTTTGCTTTTGGGTATTTCTAGAATTTTACATTTGATCCTTCTCAGAGGCCTAAAATATGGGTCAGTTTTTGAACGAGTAAGAAATGAAAATCTTGTATTAAGAAATTTTTGTACTTCAAAAAGACAATTACATATTCTTTTATGCACTGTCTAGATCATCGACTCATTAGTGGTAATTATTATGACAACTAAATGAATACAAACATCAGCGTTCATGCTCTTATTATGCTTATTATTCCATATACTTTTCTTGCTTCTGGTGGGATATTACTTGGTTGACTTTGATGGTAAATTTCTCTTGTTATTATTCCAGTACCAGTCCGACTTTCCGACTTCCATGAAGGGAGCTGTGTTTATTGATTTGGGTATAAGATACAAGCTGATGGCAGAAGAGATATTACAAAGACAAATACAGCTTGTTAAACATAATTTGATGGAGGTAAATTTAGTTAATTGTAGTCCGTAGAATTTGATGGAGACCAATACAGCTTGGTTTTCTTTTTCTTCCAAATCTTCTGAATTTGTCTCTACTCTCAAGTGATGTTAATTTAGATGATCATTACTTTCAAAACTGTCACCAGGCCGTTGATGGTGCTGATGGATTTCAGAACACCCATCAACCAAAGCGATACGAATCTGCAAAATTCAGTATTGATCAGGTAAAATTCGGTGGTCCCTCCGCATTTGTATGTCACATTTTCAATTTTTAACCAAGTCTACAGGTAGCTTTTATCCTTGAGAAAGTGCGCATAATATGGGAGCCACTGTTGCTACCGTTGACGTATAAGGGAAGTATGTGCACAGTCGTGGAGGCTGTATGTTCTAGAATGACCAAAGATATACTGCTTTTAGATGACATTGCAGCCGAAGAAACATTACAGGTGCATTTGCAAAATCTTACCTTAGAAACTAAACTAGTTAAACTGCTAAGGGTGTGTTTAGTACACAGGACAGTACATAACAAAAACCTGTTGTCCCACGTTTGGTGTGACAATTAGACAAGACGGGACGGGACTGAATGTAAAAAAAAACCGTCCCATGGAAATAGGTGGAACAAAAATAAGGGAGGGGACAAACTTGGTAAATTACTACCCTTTCACCTGCCTACCTCACACCTTACTCTTGTCCTTCCAGTCCTGTCCAGTTCAGTCTTCGTACCAAACGCACCCTAAAATGTTGTCAAAGTCCGTATCCACGTTTTTCTTTTTCGGGGAAAACCTTAGCAACAAACTACTTTGGTGTTTTTGTTCAGCTTCAAAGGTTAATTCATATGCTGCTGGAAAGCCTTTCTGCTTTATTGGAGTCGCTGGTTGCTATGAATCAAACAACAAAACCACAAGACGCATCATCAGGCTCTATTGATGATCTGATACCATCACTGAGTCGACTACGAATATTGGCAGGCACGTTAATAATTTGGCAACAGCCTTGATTTTCCTGTATTATAACCTTATATATATATATGTGTGTGTGTGTGTGTGTGTGTGTGTGTTATTGATACAATAGAAATGTGAACAGATATGTTGGACTTGCCTCTGAAGTCCATTACTGCAAGTTGGGAAAGCGGGGAGCTGGCCAAGTGTGGTTATACTTCATCTGAGGTATGTTTATACATGTTTGTTGTGTTGTGTTGATGGTTGTGATGAGATATGCATAAATGGTTGTTGCAGGTGAGAGACTTCATCAAAGCAATATTTACAGATTCACAGTTACGAAAAGAATGCTTGTGGAGGATCGAAAATATCAAGTTTTAATTAATATAAGGTTTTGCTGCAAGAATAGAAGAAATGTAGGTTTTGGTTTTATTTTATTAATCTCCATTGTATATACCCCTCCCTTATGTATACTAAAAGAAAAAGCTCTCTCATTATGTCTCACTACTTACTCAAAACTTGTTTCTTTTTTGTGAGTATTAACATCATACCTCATATAGAGGATATTATATATATATATATATATATATGTATATATATATATGTATATATATATTAACCATACAAATCTTCCCCCTTTTGAAGGATGGGCTTTTTTTGTTTCGAGTAATTGTGGGCATCTGGCTACTATGAATAGCCCGGAATCATAGCAGATGAACCGACATGGTCATAAGGGTTTTGGCAATACTCTGGATTCGAATACTAAGAAGTAAGAAGGTGAGAGTTCCATTACTCTCCCTAAGCCTTATCAACAAGATTCGACATGTTTGTTAGCAGTATAATGATCTTAGTAGGACTTGCAGCTTGTGCGGTTAGCTATGTGTTACTATTTGGTAGTAACTTAATGATATAGAAAATGACTTATTCAATAAGGTTTTTGCGAAAAGTTTTATGCAGAAAGTTAAAGTTTTTTTCTAATCCTACTTCTGTCAATTAAAAAGAACACACTTTCCATCTGTATAAAAAAAACTCTTCCAAACAAAAAGCCTTTTCCAATACATACATATAACTTTATCCATACAATAATTGGAATAATAATAATATATTTTCTTTTATTTTTCAAGCAGGTTTTTGTGGCAAAGAATTTATTTATTTTTTTAAATAGGACAAATCATGTGAAAATACATTTTTCTTCATTCTATTTCTATTTTAGATAATGCAATCTCAAATCCACATCATATGCCACATAAGCAAATATGTGTTTTTTTTAAGTATATAATATTTATATACGACAAATGCAATAAATAAACTCGAACAACCTCCTCACCGTTGATGAAGTTTGAACCCTTGACCTCCTAGAAGACCAAGGACTAATAATGTTGAGTTGTATACTCAAATGTTTGAACAGTACTCGAAATGTAATCGAAACAAATAGATTATATTCTCATACAATGTGTCCAAGTTGAATCTTCCCTGACCAAAATATTCATAAAAGAAAGTTATGTCCCACTTCAGACTGTGGGGAATTGGTTTCTATATTCATTTAAAAAACAAAATCAAACCTTTATTTCAAGGTTAATAGAAGTCTAATGCAGATGAACCCTGCCCTGCCAAACCCCAGAGATCAAACATGTACAGATATATATGTTTATGTCAAGACTCATTTTCATCTAATGTTTCCTCCTACATCTTTTATCCACATTTCAAGCAGGATTTGCTTCTCTAGCATTATTTGCAGCATCGGAAATCGTATTTTGCACACTTTCTGGGGCTTTCACGCTACTATTTGCCTTCTTCAATCGAATCATGGGACGTCTTAGAAACTTCTGCAGTTGCCACTTTTTCGGTTTAACCTGTCCCAGTAGTTTCATCTGTTCCCTTTGGAATTTACGGTTTGCATACCATCTCCCACCTCTCCAACCCAACCCGTACCTGCAAATCCAAACCGAACACCCTTTTTCATGGCAAATATGATAAAGAAACCACCAACACGCAACCCGGGTGTATGATCTTTAGTAAAGAAGCACACATTCAGTTCTCATATTGATTTCTTTAGCTGTAAGTCTGGTTTCATGAAGTAACTATCAAATTTAAAAGCATCGATATCAAGTTAATTTCAATTACCATAATTTATAGAATTTGATGCAAATTTTGTAGTTATATAAACTGTGGTATGTATGACATCTGTGGAGGCAATGTAAGTTTTTGAAAGAATATTTTGCATACCCGACAACTAAAGAGACCCCGGCTGTGGCAACACAGGCTGCAGCATTAGAACTACCTGTGCCAACCAGCTTTTTGAATTCCTTACCTTCAAGGTCATAATTTTTTCTCATCTGCACAGGTATAAATCAAATATGTAAGGAACAAAAAGTAAAAAGAACAGAAGACTGAACGTGTATACTAGAAAAACAAACAAATCCAGTATATCCCACATTCCCACTCAGAAGTAGAGTCTTGGGGGGTAAAAATGTAAGCATTCCCTTCCTCTGTCGCAAGCGGCAGAGAGGCTATGGACACTCATTTACACATCCTCCATTTGTTGGCCCTGTCTCAGTTTTTAGTTGCATTTAGTAAAAGGACCCAAAATCATATTCTAGATACTTCTGATGAAATGAATCTACGGACCAAGAAGAAGATGATGGAGAGTATTTTGATCCTTATGAAGACGATCCATCTCACCCGGATTCACGCCGGAAATAAAATTTGGTTGTACAATAATAATGTGTGCAAGTGTTTAAATTAATGATGTAAGAATGACATGATTTAAGTGCTTACCTCATTTAGGTAGAATTATTGCTTGCTTATGTAATGCTTGTATAAGGGTACTTTTTCCTTGCTTATAAAAGGAAGGTTCCCCCTCATTTGTAAAACATCCCTTGAAAGAACATTTTGTAAGACATCCCTTGATAGGAGTCAAATTTGGAACTATCCGACTGGCCCTTACCTTTTATGGCAGGAAAGGTCTTGCAACATTATCTCGTATACCTTAGTAGACACCAAGTTTATAGAGTACCAACATGATTGTATAGGTACGATCCAAACAACCCTGAACACGGAAACCATTTTTGTCACGTTCTATTCAAACTTCAACATGCGGCTCGATGATCCCTCATTGCACACAACACTTAAAGCTCAAATCCAAAAGAGAGTACCCCCAAGTCAACACTTTCCATGCGACATTCATTACCAAATGACATATCGAGTCCAAAATCACTCTTTGAACATCATGGTTCCAGAACAAGAAAATACAGGAGACGCCCTGTTCATTGATGTTAATTCAAGTGCGATGCCAACATGCACTTATGTTCCTAGGCAGTTATCAAGAGAGAAGTTACTCAAAAAAATGGATAACCAACTATGAACAAATCCATCAAGCTCCCGTTCAGACCACCACAACTCCAGATTTCATCCGTCATGAGTATGGACTTGTAGAAGTCAAGTTCTCAACCAAAGAAATGTGTTGATGTATTTCCCACCATCCATGTGATTGAAATGGCACAGCCTCCAACACTCCAATCATGCTTGGTTCTTTGGTGGAGTTATGAAATGGCACAGCCTGGTATTCAGATGTTGAGGTTGCTGGAGTTATGACATAGCATTCTCCTCGAGACTGATTAAAGGGATCATGAGAAGATGAAGGGTTGATTCTGGCTTAGAAGGTGAATCCTTATAAACAACATAGTAGTCAAACTTGCCCAATGACTCACCAAGGAGTCTTATAGCAGGATCTCCTGCTTCATATCTTTCTTTCAACTTTTTTTGTGACGCTTCTTTTCTTTTTTGGGACATCTTCATCATAAGCGACTTTGTATGCTTCGTCTAAACAATCTTGACAATTACATGCATCATACTAGCAGTGTTCAATCTCTTGTGCGAGTGTTGGAGGCTGCACCGTTTCAATCATATAAATGGTGGGAAATGCAACTGATTTTTCGTTGGTTGAAAACTTAACTTCTAGAGTTGTGGTGGTGCAAATAGGAGCTTGATGGATTTGTTCATAGTTGGTTATCCATTTTTCTGGAAGAAGTTTGAATAACTCCTCTATGAATAATTGCCCAAGAACATAAGTGCATGTTGGCGTCGCACTTGAGTTAATATCGATAAGCAGGCCATCTCTGATTCTTGTTCCGGGACCATGATGTGCAAAGAGTGATTTTGGACTCGATATGTCAGTTGGTAATGAAATCTCACCTTTGATTTTAGGGGGTACCGCCTATTTGGATTTGGGCTTTAAGTGTTGTGTGCAATGAAGGATCATTGAGCGGCATGTTGAAGTTTGGATAGAGCATGACAAAAATGGTTCATGCGTTCATAGTTGTTTGGATAGTACCTACACAAGCATGTCGGTACTCTACAAGCTTGGTGTCTACTAAGACTATACGAGAGAACGTTCGAAGACCTTTCCTACCATGAAAGGTAAGGGCTAGTCTGATAGCTCCAGAGTCTCACATGTGTATATCCTTGAGCTCGACAATGCGTGGGAAGGTCTGATGGAAGAGATAATGTCACTAAATGTTTTGATGTGGTGTTTGGGAGCTGATAGGAGTCAAATTTGGAAGCCTCGACAAACTCCTTAACTTGCTGATGAGAGGTAGATCATATTAATTTTTTAACTTTTTTAGAAAAAGTAGTAGGTTTGGAAAATACCAGGGGCGAACCTACTCATAGAGTTGGGGGTGCACAGGCGCCCGCTCGATCATCCCATCGTAGTGAAAATCTTTTACCAGTCGTAACTGTGCACCCGCTTAATTTTGAAGTGTGCTCTTATATATTTTTAAAACAAGAAAACAAGAGTGTGAGGTTGCTAGAATGGTTGGGCACTACTTGGTTTCCTTAAGGTCATGGGTTCAAAACTTTTTTACAACAAATTCTAGTTTTTTCTATTTAAAATTATGCAACAAAGAGAATTGAACTCAAGACCTGAACTATAGAAGTCTTAACAATCTACTACAACTATTTTTTATTTACAATTGTCCCAATCTTACTTTTATTTCTTTCTTTTTTTAATATTTTCCTTTGAATATACCCATTAATCTTAATTTTGTATTTTGTCTCGTTCTAATGACAACACATGTTTATACGAAATAACTTGAAAAGGAAATAAAATTAATCATGTTTAACAATTAATACTATATATGAGTTTTAATTTTTAAGTTTTCTTGATAATACTTAAAAATCTGTTATTAGTCATTTGTATATAATGGCGTAAAGCATGTTTTTGTAAAAAAATTAATAAAATCATATTTTGTTGTTGTATTTGTTGCTCGTTACCAAATCAACCAAAAAATTTTAAAAAAAATCCCCCGTAAAGGTGGAATTCAGCCGAGAACTTGTTGAGCATGTAATGTTGCGTCTTGCTCAAAAAGTCAATGTGGGTTCATTTGTAAAAATGTATTGTATCAAATCGATTGGGTTAAACCGTGACTTCCTTGGCCTTTGATTGACCTTAAAGGTGCATCCACTCAGAAAAATTCCTAGGTCCTAGTCACTGAAAATACACTGTAAGGATCAACTATAGGCCTACCAGTTAAACGTGTTTTAGAATCATTTGGACCATAAGAAATTTCATACATTTGTTCTATCTTATATGCAGAAGATTGTCTAAAGGTAGAGGAAGAACGTGATAAACCAGGTGGATTCATGACTGGCTTTGGTACTATTCTGAAAACACTGTTCACTTTTCTATATCTTGTTATCAAGATTAACTTTGACTTCACTCTTTGTCAACTTACAAGCTCTCTTAACAAAAACATGAAAATGAAAAATGTCTGGAGCAAAATACTTGAACACCCGGCTTAATTATTCAATTTCTTAACTTTAGAATGGTTTTTTGATGTGAGAGATCCGTGCATAGACGACAGTCACAGAGCATACAAATCCAAATCTTAGTAAGATTGAGGAGGGGGGTTATAAGACTAAGGACAGTTTATGGCTCTGATACCAGTATGGATTCCCTAGGACTGGTACTTGTATCTGGGACGGGGACAATTAGGGACTGGAACAAGAAGACACCAACGAAAAACTCACTAACGAAGAACACTAGAAAATTAAGAACTTAAGAAAAATGAGATATTTTGTCAGATATAAAAACTACAGAGCGTTCACAAAAGAGATTTCATTGGTATGTAGAAGAAAAAAGCATATGGAGATATGTGAACTTTAAGATTGCTATTTTTCTTGGCACTTGCTTGAGTCATAGCTCATAGGATTATCATTTGTTCCTTCGCTAACCATAAGGGGTTAGCATTAGCCTTGCCATTTTGACTTTGCCACACTTTAAGAAGTGCTAAGTTGGACTTGATGGAGGAACTTGAACAAGAAGGCTACTAGAGTTCCAGAGGGTTTTTGTTTTGAAAGCTTTATTTTATACCGGGAAAGTTTCTTGGATGTTTTTACAGCCAGGGGTCTTCACGGAAATAGTCGCTCTTTCCTTTGGTGCAGACGTCAAGTCTCAACTAACCCACCTTCGGGTGGAATATACTGGGCTCGTTTAGTTTGGTTTCTTGGATGGTTTACAAATGAGAAAGATCATCCCTATTAGAGTAGAGCATTCCAAATACAAATACATCACATTCCTATCCTACTAAAAATATCAAGATACTCTAATAAAGCATCCTAAGCAAATTCATACAAGGAAGACCTAGAATTTTCCGGAGACTCCACAAATCCCTAGAGAATACCAATACATCATGTGGCCCTTCTGAGAAAATGTTTGTCGAGCAATTCAATAGGTGGGAATTGGATGTTTGTGACTTGTGAGTGACATATGGCTACCCAAAAAAGGGAGTCCGGCTAGAGTAAAAGCTACAAAGATGAGAACCAAAAGTCGCCACCATAAGCTTTATTATGTAAACCAAACCAAACAAACACAATATATCCCACCTAGAGATAGGATCTGGAGGGGGTAAAAGGTAGGCTGTTTCCGAGAAGATGCCTGGATTGCGAAACTAAGATAGAGAGAATAATTGATAAAAGTACCTGGTCACAAGGCATTCAGGTTTCTTATGTATTAGAACAATTAATGTCATATTCATGTTGGATTTGCTATGGAATGGAGCATACAACACAGGGCCCATCTTAAAGCAGATCAATATTTCAAGGAAAATGACAAATAAACAAAGAAATAGTGGAAATATTAAAAGGTATAGAGCTTGTTGTAGAGTAAAGAGGAAAGGAAAATACTAACAGCTTTCTCGATTGAGTCAAGCCTTTCTTCAACTTTTGTTTCATGAAGGTGGCGTATCGTATAGCCTGCATTATTGTCACATATGAAGTTTAATTTGAGACCAAAAAACCAGTATAAAACCAACCTAGTAAAGCAGTCATAAAAGCATCTAAAACAGTAATTCAAATTACTTTTAGGCATTTTCTTGATCGTATTGTGAGCCTTACAAATAATCGTGACAAAGAGAAGTCCAATTTTTGCATAATTGTCTCATTAGTTTAGATGTTTTATCAATTAGATCCGCTATGTTTAACCATGCTCATTCAAATTAGAAGATATGTAGATCAAACAAGTAACATTTTCTTGATCAATACTCAATAACATAATGCTCAACACCACGTTACAAGAAAAACGATCCACATCCTCTAGTTCAATCTCTAATTTCTCCAAGCAAAAACCACAGCGGTTGGATTATTGCAAATTCACATCCTCACCCATCACATATCTAATTCAGTATTATAGCTAATTCAAGTCAATAACTGCAGATTTTCCTAAGCTGTTCATATCATTCATATTCCGACTTTCCCACATATTTCACGAACAGATGATCATTCAAATGCTTAGAAACTGAAAAGTTCACAGCAAGGTGGGTAGTGATCAGAAGTAACTTAGAGAGATTTTCCGGCATTGGTATGGATTTCTTTCTGCTAAATTGAATTGAAGACCAACACTATCTATTTATAAAACTTCTTAACACAAACAAACGTAGTTCGACTATTTCCCCAAAATTATTAAAAACCCCTTCCGAATTTTAAGTTGGGGTAATTGGGAAGGGGGGTAACACCAATTTCATGTTGAAGTAAGCTAAACATACCAGCCCAAGCAGTGCCAATAGATGCGATAGAAGTTAGGATCGTAAACACAACTTTATGCCTCTCAAATGTATCCTAGAAATTGGAAATCATTAAACACATAAGAACCCCGATCCGATATACATGATGAAACCCTAATTGCTTGCTGCACAATTAGAGATGGCGAAAAAAACATAGAAACCCAAATCAAATAATACCTTGGTTGATAGAAAAGTATCTTCAATAGCTGACAAAGAATTGGAAACCTTTTTTCTGATATGAGGAACAGAGAAATGCGTTATGACAGAGGAACTTCTCTTTAAACCCTGCATAGTGATTTTTGGATTTCAGTGGCATATACAAACTTTAGGTTTGGAGTTGGAGGTTTCATCTTTATTGGTCCTTTTTCCCTGTGAAAACTGGGTTGGATTTGGTTTTTCTTTTTCGCTACGTCTTTTCAAGTATTGGCCTTCTTGATGGAAAGGTCATGTATAGATTTTCAATAGGAATTATTAATTTCAAACTTTATTTATTTACATGAAACTAGAAGGTTATTCACATAATGTAACGAAATAAATTTTGATTTTAATGTTTTATTTTATTTCTTTCTTTGTTTCAGTCGATGTTATAATACGATTTTATGTGATTTTGAGAAAATAATGATGTTTTTATTTTTAATAAAATATAAATATATAATAAAAAGTTTAAAAAATATATTGATATTAATATCAAACTAACCATTTAAAATTTCTCGTTTTCTTATGTACTTTTGTAATTCATATTTTTTATTTTTGGTTTAATAATATATTTTTTTATATTGATAATAATTAAGTATTTTGTTAGAAGTCAATGATTATCCTAATTATATTTTTGACTTTTTATATTTAAAATGAGATGTTTATCATTTGTTTGATTATATTTATTTGCATTTAGTTACACGAATTCAAACAATAAGCTTTTAATAAGATGTACTTACGCATAATTTACTTGTAGTCTAAATTTTAAGTAATATGCATCAATAAACAGTACTTCATGCATAAAAAACAGGTTTTAAAAGTTTTTATCAAATACTTTATAATATAGTATAAATTCTTATTTATTTTTTCTTCTTTTTTCTAAGAGGAATGCTAATAGCACCCTTATCTCCAAAGTAATCATTTTTTATTTTCTTTTTGTATTTTTGTCTTTTTTATTTTATGCTAGTTTTCTTTGAGGAGTGCTAATGCACCTTTTAATAGTGGGTGTTGAATGCATAGAGAATTATGATTACATTAATTTCCATTAAGTGTCAAACTCAATCAATATCATATCATATTTTATTATTATTATTATTGTTATATATATATATATATATAGACTTGGGATCATGTGAGACCAATGGTTTTTCATGAGACCCGTAAGACCAATTCTCAACCATTGGATTAGATTTACAACCGTCAGATATGAACATTTATAAACGCCACGAGACTTCTCATTAATTACGAAATTGCCACCTTGCAACTTTGCAACCATTAGATCATTAATTCATAAATTTGATCAATGAACTTAAATT